TGCATAGATGTTGACGGACTAGCGCCAGCAAGAGTCCTACTCACTTCGCGTGCTCCACTAGGATCCACAAAGCGCCACATCATGCTGCACTTCAACTAAGTCCGCCCGATCATGAAGAATGAAATCAACAGCCTCCGTTGCAGATGAGCTGTAAGATGATGTAAGGCCCACACAGCACTGAATGCCTCATCCGACATTCCAGCCTGCAAGCGGCAAAAAACTTGCATGAACGAAGCAGCTACCATGTGCGTCGCAACTCCTTTCAATTCATATCTGGCAGGTCGTTTGGGAATCAACCTTGATACACACGTGCTGGTACACCCGGGCACACGAGATCAACTTCAACATGCAAATGGCAATCCTTGCTTGTTATGCTTATTTGATCTTATTTGGCTGCAAGCACTCGCACATCCCGCTACCCCGCGGCCTGAAGGATTGGCATGGTTGTCTTCGAGGATGTTGCAAGTCTGTCGGGCAAGTTGCAACAGCTACTGCAAGACAAGCAGATAAGATTAGAAAATGACCGACTCTCCGCTACGAGTTGCTCCCGTTTGCTTGACCAACCGAGACTGCCTCTGCGCCAGGGAATGCTGATCCGATCCTGCCATGCAGACTTGTCGCTGTGCACTGCTTCCGGTGGCCTCCCACCCCACATGAATCTTTGCCAGAATCCTGCTCCCATGTCAGGCACTTCAGCGCCTGTTTCTGAGAACTGTGCGAGCAGCAGTCCATCTCCAAGACTTAGCAGCATGGACGGCAACAAGAGAAAGCATCGGCCACACTCGCAGGTCTGCTTGAGAATCTTCATGCGACCTCCCTACTGCCGAACTCACCAACTTCTGACTGTCCGCTACTTTGGCCTCGCTCGCCCTCACTGATCTGCGTCAAAGACTTTCAAGCACCCATCTAAGCACCAAACTGAGAAGTCTTGGAAGGCGATGTTTCCTCGGTGTCCAGTGGAGTTGATATGTACTGCAGAATCTGGACCCAAGACCAGCTGCCACTGCCAAGTTACAAACAACAACCCCTTTACTCCTTCAGTGTCAGCACGTTCCCGTGACCAGAACATACATTTGAAACCCTGATTTGTATCATGCTCGGGAACTTCTGCTGTCAGAGCTTGTTTTCTGGAAACTCTGCTTTCAGTTGTAGCTCTTGAAAGTAAGAACGCTGCAACGAGATGTGCCGATGAAGGCCACGTGCACGTTCCGTGTCCCTGCCCCGGGCTGACGTCCGCCAGGGTTAAGTGCTTGAACTGTCTGCTAAATGTTTTACGGTGCAAATCTTGTTGTCGCTGCTTCCACAACGTGAGCCTTGTCAACCAAGCTGGTGGCCCCCTTGTAGGCTCCGTAGGCCATAGCTCCTGAGCCAAGCATTGCCCAGCGGTTAAAGCTTGACTCCAAGCGTGTCACATGACTGTCAGCACGCATGCCGCAAGACACAATGTCCTTTCGCCAGCAATCGCATCAACTTCTTGACGATGCCCTCCGTGCCGAACATCTCCTTGACCTGGCAAATGTGCTGAGGAGCTCACCTCACTGGTTTCTTTGTTTTGGTACTGTCCTGGCTCCTCTTGCATGGCAAGGTTTCATTGGACTGACTAAAAGCCTTGAGAGCAAGCTAAGACTCAGGCGGTTGGAGGTCCCATTAGCGGCACCATCTCCTTGAACCTGGAGGTGGCAGGTTTTACTTGTACTGTAGGAACGAACCCAATCCTGGAATCGACCTTGTTCTTAAGGTACCAAGAGACTGCTTGAAGCGCATGGACAGGTTCAGGATGATGGAGGGAACCAGGAGGCTTTTTCCAAGGTTGGCCTCGTGGGATGAGCAGAAAACACATCTCACAAGCCAAGCCAGTTTCCTCTGCATATGAACTCTCATATCGGGCAGACTCGAAAGCCAAAGACGACAGCAGGCCGTTTCCAGAATTCAAGCAGGACAATAGGGGCCGAACCCCATGAGAGAACTCATAGTCCCTCATCACAATGTCATAGTCCAAAGCTGAGCGGTGTGGTCAGCAAGAAAGGGCTGCCAAATTGCAGCGACAAAGCATCACGACCACCTCTTATTTCCGTTTATTGAATTGTCCATGATATGTTCACCCACAGCCTGTTCATCTGATTTGGGCACGGAACTCTGGACCACTAGTGGAACAAACCGCGCCGAGAAGCCTCCAGGACCTTCCATCTTGGGCTTGGAGATGCCTTGCTGCAGTATCATGACCATTCATTACTGCTGACAGCACTCAAGCTGAGGAATGCTGAGGATTTGGCGAGGGGCCATGGGCTGCTTGCCTACGGCACCAACACCATGTTTCGCTAGCGGGTTCTTGCTCTTATGAAGCTCCGCCTGGATTCAGGGCGGCCTCCGGCAGACCCGTGACTTTCAAGAAACCTGAGGCCACTTCAGCCATGGGCCGTCTGGAGACAATCACGGCACAGGAGCAGCTAGCACAAAAACCGTGTTTTGCTGCGCACTGGCCATCAAGCGAGACTTAGGTTGCCACGACCTCCTGGCACAATGGTCGAGCAAGGAACACCATCACAAGAAAGCCCACAGTTCAAAAGCGAATCGTTCTGGATGTCAATGATGGAGCATGTTGCAAACACAAGTTTCCAGCTGCATCTTTCTGGACACCCCCAAAAACTCCGGGGCACACGAAATATTTGTACATCGGTCTCATGAGTGGTAGCATTCTTGGACACTCTACGTAGTTGTTTGGCATTTCGCCTGCGTTGTATAGCGGGTTGAAGTAGGGCAAATGCGAGAAGACGCCTGATGCGGCATGCAAAGAAGACGCAGCTTCTTCAACTCGGAACACTCCATTTGCTGGGCCTTTGAAGCCACGATAGGGTAGGCGATACAAGCCATTTCGCAGACCTGGAAGGCCTCAAAGCACGGAGACGGTCTGTCACACTCGACTAGTACGGGGTCACAGCACCAGCTTCACAAAGACATGGGCTGCTTTTGAACTAGCCAACTCACAAAAGTTGTTCAAAAAGCCGCTCAAAAGCAACAAAGCTGCCGATGTGCGTGCTGCCGTATGCCGCGCTTTGCCCGGCCTGACAGCGGCGGCCACAGCCGCGCTTTGAAGATCCGGTACTTGGAAAGTAAGGCAATGGCCTCAGCGGTAAGGTCGACACCGCACAAGCTATCAAACGGCTTTGACTCGGCTTTGACTATCTCATTGCCACCAATCTGTGCAACGGGCAGCAAGGATAGCCAAAGGCATCAGCAGCGCGCTCATGCCCATGCCTTGCTTGGCATCCGAAGCTTGCATACCGAGCGTTTCCTCTGAATCTCCTCCATGCCCTTCGTGCAAACAGGATGCCCAGCATGGAGAATGCTTTGCCTGCCCACGCATGGAAACAGCTTCTGACAGGGAAGCAGTGCAGCAGAAGTGGCACAGGATTCGGCACTGCAGGACATCCTGCGTTAAATCAGCACGGAAGGCGACACTGGCCTAGCGAAAGCTTCGGTGGACCTGGGCACAGAGGCTGTGTTGCATTCCAAGGCGGTGGCTTGCTGCGGCTTGCTGTTGACTAAGTTCGAAACTAGGAAGGCCTGGCACGCCAGGGATCTCCAGCTTCGGCATCTTTGGGAGTCCTTCAAATGCACTGAATTATGAGCATCTCAATGGCTAGGCCTGGGCGCTCTCCTGGAATGTCGGGGAGGAAGTCTCCACCTTAATGCTTTTTGTTTACTACACATGCTTCACTTGCACCGAAAAAGCACTGCCAACATGGGCTGCCGTCAGCGTCCATCATTCCTCCAAGGACATGGAATACTTCCTTATCGTTGAAGGTACCTGCTCAAAGCCTCGCGAAAGCGACTATCTGAAGAACACTGACGCGCTGTCTCAAGGATCACAAGAATTAAACAAACGAGCTCTTAATCTGCTGGGCTGCTCATACCACATTACCCTCCTAGCTTGCCCTCTCTTCGAATACAGCACCAGGCAGCAACCTGCTCAGCGCGGCGCTCAGGCTCGGCATCTTCATGCTGCTTGCATCTGAAGTGGGAAGAAATCTGTCAACTCAGAATTGTGAGGCTTCTTGCCAGCATCCGCCTCATACCTGAAAGCTCTGGGGAACACACAGCTGGTGATCATCTTTATTGTCTTGAAGAGCTTCTTGATAGCAGCTGGCACCAGTGTATGTTGGGCAACAGCTACTGAGCCACACCTTCTCCCGGATTGCTTGGACTTCATACACAGCGAACTCACTCCCTTCCCTGCCAATTCACATGTGCAAATGCGCCGGGCTTTCCGATGAGCGCCTTTATGAGGCCAAACAGCATCATGGCCAATGCGATCGCTGAAGCAATCACCTCATTGCTCAAGACTGCAATAGCAGCGGTTGATCAAAACTCGTGTATGAAGCTTTTAGGTGCAGAATGGGCCTTGAAGATCATGCTCAACGAAATGTTGGGAAAGCCCAACTTGGTGTACGATTGGTACTCCTGCATAGCCGTGCAGGCTTGCAAGCCGGCTCTCACTCATGCAACTCCAAAACCCTCCCTCTTTGGGCAACTTCCAAACTGCAAGCATCCTCCTCCAGGTGAACCGTCGCTAGCTTAAAGAATTGATGCAGGGATGCATCAAGTTTTTGAAGTTCTAGCACTCTTTGACCGAATTGAGATGCGGTGCATGGCTATTATTGCAGCTGCTAAAACCCTCACATCAGAATATAATGGCCCCAGCAGAGAGTGCGTGATGCCTACTTGTGCTCCTTCTTTCAGCAGCCCTGCATGACACAAAGACTTGCTAATCGCTGGGCTGTACAGACTCGGAGGCTCCATGATGCTCGATTGGCACAGAAACCATTGAAAGCTGCAACATCTTGGCTGCTGCACGGAACCTGGCATGGCCAAATGACACAAAGGAGGGCGCACAGAAGAAGTCACGCACTGGCACAGCGATTCGCAGGCCTTCACGGAAAGAGTGCCACATTCTAGTTTTAGAAGCATATTACGACAAGGCGCGCAAAAGATGTCCAGATCTACGAGATCAGCTTCATCTCCTTCAAGACCTGCAAACGGCAGAAGAATCGAACGATGCCGAGCTACTGCTGCCCTCCTCTCCTTTTCAAATCCAGTGCCATTAGACAGTTTGCTGCCTGCCTCTGCAGGAGCGGTGTCCTGCAGCGTAGAAGTGTCCAAGTTGCTGGAGTATGGGACCAGCACTTCGCGAACCTCGTGGCAGGAAATGCTGGCCCCGGGATTCCAAAGCAACTAGGAAATTAAGAAAGCAGCTCGGGCGACATGGCGAGCTTGCACAGCTTCAGCTAAATCGTCCTTGGCTGCCATTTCTAGATCTAAACATCTAAAAGCCTCGAAGATCACTTCCTTGATACTACATGCCATTCTCATGCTCTTTCAGGCCCCACGTCTGTGCCACGGGTCAATCGACGTCTGCGCAAGGGATTCCTGAAAGAAGGGTTGCGCAGCACAGCATCGCGGCATCGCGACGTCGCATGACGCATCAGGCATGTCAACTCGCCTTCTCCAGCTGTGACCAAAGCTCCCCGCAGGCCCAGCTCGGTGAGGCAGCAATAGCCGCAGCCTAGGAAGGCAGCTTGGTGAGGCCGTTGGCAGAAGCTAGTTTTTTACACTTTGCCTGCGCAGCTGCAGCTTCCAGGACGGCGCCCCCTCAGACTCAGAGGGCGGCAGCTTGTTGTTCTTGCTTCAACACTGTATCAGCACAGCATTCTGCGTACCCCAAACTCAGTAGAATGTCCTCCATCCTACGTGGCATCATGAGGACAATGAATAGGCAAACAGTGTCAAGCTGTCACTGTAGCGTGCACTCCATAAACTTGGGTACTCCAAAGAAACGCTACTCAACTGCCTGAACTCTGCCAAGTACCTGGCTTACGCTAAGGGTTGCCTATCTTGCAGGCCGTTCAATCCGCCCCCGCCTCTCCTCACAGCTCTCTATTGTCACGGTAGACATGAGCATGACAGGACGTGACAACCAAACAGGAGCTCAATGTCTGCAATAGTTGTCCAAGCACAGTCTCTAGCTGCTGCTTTCTTTTGCGCACAGGACACACTTCCCATTTAATGTCACCTGCATTCACATGCCTCGCTCCTCTTCACTGAGGCGGAGGCGTTTGAGCTCAGACATGGCCAAGTTGATGAGAGCACGCGGATAGTGTGGTTGCCAGCTCAGCGTCCCAAGGCATTTGTACTTGCAGAGGCCAAGTCCAGTTGATAGGCTGGCTTCTCAATCTTACACCCGGAGCGAATTGCTTGCAATGATATAATCCCAACACAACACGAGAACGACGGTCAGTCTGAGGCCTGGGCTACAACGCCCAGCGATATGCACAAACAGCATCATCTGGCCGACCACGATTCGCAAGGACTGCCCCGAGCATGTTCCACCTGCTTGAGAAGATAATTTGGAATTCATGATTGAATCTCTTGGTCATTTGTTGCTCCGCAGCGACAAGAGCTACCGCCAACAGCGAAGGTCATCAACACAAGGCCTTGTAGCAAGCCGCCGAGGAGCGCCAAAGTAGCTATCGTCCTGCACAATATATTAGTCCTAACCATATGAAGAAAAATGGCGCACTCAAACATCAATTCACACATTGGTCGTGCAATGAACTCATTTGCTCTCGATTTCAGGTTTCTCCACTGTGTCATTTCCGAATCAGCAAAAGTTGAAAATGCAAATCATATGTGACAGCACATTGCATGACCATTCAGAAGCTCTGCCTCGTTCGTAGCTGCTCAGAACACATGCAAATGCACATCCTCTGGTGCCAGCAGTGCAGAACCAAATGTGGAAGCTACTGACTCCTGCCGGGTGAAGATGTCAAGTAACCCAACGGCAAGAGCTTGGAAGTGAACCCCACCTGGCCCTGCAGCAACTGCAGCAAGCCCAGGGCCACAGCGAGATCTGCGCTGGCTTTGGATCCCTCAGAGTCTTCGCGTCAAATGTTCTCTAATGGAACTATGCGAATACACTGACATACCGCCCACTCAACGTGCAGAGTTGTAGCCTGCTGGTCTCGCAAGCGAATGAGTCTCCTGTCCAGCGCCTCATCCTCGGAGCTGAGACCTCATTGACCAACCAGTTTTCATCCTTGAGGGTGCTTATTGCAAGCAGAGATCAGCGCAATGCAAAAGAGATTTGCTTACTTAGAACTTCACTGGCACTGCTGACTTCACTGCACATCCTGCGTTGATGGGACCCATGTGAACAACAAAATACACTTGACAAGCCTGAGCCTCGGAAGACAGAGGCAACGGCCTGCATGCGCCAAAGATAACCACTTCTCCAAACAGCTTGTGATTTCGGCCTCGACACAGACGCAAGTACTCCTGTCCAACACGCACTCCAAACAACATAGGCCAAGAATTTTGCAAGATGCACAACGTTAAAATTCAGCAGGTGAATTCAGAAAACGCAGAGAAATTCGCAAGAGGCTATGCACAGCATCTGTGAAGATGGATGCTGAATAGAAGACTTTTGGAATTTGGCCAAGCCACCTGCGGATCTTCTGCTGCTTCATTCAACAAGCAGATCGACTTGAGGAGCAAGGCGTGCTGCCTGGAGTGCGAACAGCAACTGGCAGCTTGGCAGCGAATGAAACCTGCCCTGCTGCCTCACTTGTGCCAGTGCTTTTTCAGCATCATCATTTTGGGCAGGCCGCTCGAAAACCTTGGATCCAACGCGGACTCCCAACTTGTGTGAGTCAGGCACATCCGCTCAGAGAACCAGCCCATGTCTTTTTAAAATATAGTTGAATATAGGATGTTGGAAACTGGTTTATTTGCCAGTCTTACTCCATTCCGGGTGGAGCCCAAACGTGCGGAACAAGGTGCTGTGCTGAAGCAGCGCAAAGCTAGCCGGTCAATGTCGACATCCATGAGCAACGCTCCGTACTCTAGCGCGTAGGTCAGATGAGATTTCCTCAGCAATACCAGATCAGGGCAAACCAGGCGCCAACATTCAAAGGGTTGAGTACCTTGACAAAAAATCTGGACAGAACATGACTTCCCCAAACCGGCTGTCAGTTTTGTCATTTGCCAATGCCTTGCCTCTGAGCCTGTCCTTACCTGACAATGACCCTACCTGTCTGCTGAAACAGCCACGGAAGCTGAAACGTCTGAGCCTCTACACATCCCATCTGAGTGCCCCCAGCATTGTCAATTGCAGCCAAATAAAGTAAACTGAATGCTTTGCCCAGCCGCCAGTCCTCACTTGATGCAGTCTGTCCCATGGCAACCTCTGGTTGCAACTGAGCCAAGAGCTGCAGAGCACTTCAGACTGGAAAAGCTGGCCTCCCAGGCTTGAGCTGCATCCTCCAACTGGCCATCTGCCTGGAAGCCCCGGGCAAGGTCCTGCCAAAGACATCTTCCCACTTTAATTGGAAAAGGCTTGCAAAAGGTTGATCCAAAGCTTTCGTGTGCTGTCACTTCCCGTGATACACCACCGACTCCTGCGGGTTTTCGGCGCCTTCGTACGGATTGTCCTGCTTCGCTTGACGCGGCTGGGGGGAAGAGAGGATGCAAAGGCAAAGTACGTCCTTGCCATCATGGAAGTAAATGTCATCCACATCTGCTTTTGTAAGCTTCTGTGAATCACTCTGTCGATTCTCCGAAGCAAAACCGGGGCTCTTTTCAAAGAGGCCTCTGCGTGGTCAGAAGCACCAAAACACAACCGATTCAAGAGAGCCGGCCTTGGAAGGTTGCTACTTCTTTGGCCTTGTCGTTACGAAAGCTTTGCCGCAGTGTTTCCAGCTCCTTCCGCACTGCAGCATCCTCCAGGGTCGCCCTTTTTCACAATATTCCGAAGCACCGTCAAAAATTGCAACACCATGCAACACCTCACGCATCCATCTCCTTCGGCATGAGCTTGCATGCCCTCACCAGCTCCCACTCGGCCTCCTTCAGCTCACCAAGCTCCTTGGCTGGCAGCGTAATGGCACGTGGTGGTGCTCAGGCACTGCATTGGGTGACCTCGTGCCCGCAGGCTATCGCATTGCTTGCCCAGACCGAAAGACAATGCTGGCAAAAGACCATCAAGGCTTTGGCCTTGCGATATGTTGCCTGGTGCGCAGGGCGCGCCAAAAAACTGTTACTCAGGCCTGCTTTCATGTATGGGCTGCATGGTGCAAATTTCGGGAAAGCTGAGCTGCAGCCTTGTCTTCTAAAGGCAGGGTGTTAAGCTGACGTGCCTTCGGGTTGTCGGGCTCGGCATCTAAGACTTCCTGACCACAAGGAAGCAAGCGGACTACAAGGGCAGCTTGAAAAAATCGTGACAGCAATGTCTGCGCGGGCATCCTCACACAGCTCCAGCGCTCGAAAGGGTTCTGTGGGATCCGAACGAAGACAAACCAAAGCCAAGTTCCTCAGGCACACACTAACACATAACTTGCATCAACAGTTTGCCAGCTTGCAGTTTGTCTAGCGGCTCACATGTAGAATTTGCAGCTCAGAAGCAACTGAGTCGGCCTTCTAACGGAAGCAACTTCTTCACTGAAACCTTCTGCAAGGCTCTGCAATCAGCTCAACTTCTAAATGCAGAGATTCAGCAAATTGTTGCTATTTGCTGGCAGGGTTTCCCTCCGGCATCTCCTTGAATTGGGTGAGTCGCAATGCCTGTCAACTGTCGAATGTTCTCATATACCTACAGGCTCTAAAATGATTTGGACTCCAATGCTAACTTATACGTGAAGTTCCAGTACAGACATAACGAAACTGCTGCACAAGGCTTGAAGGATAGCCTCGCTGTAGGCCTTCCGCGCTCCCTCCATATCCTACAGGCATTGGGCACTTGTTGCTGGTGCTGACAGGTTCCCTTCCTGATGACTGCAAGGAAACCAAAATCAAAGGTATTTTCCCTGCTGTCCTGCTCCCTGAACTTAGCATTGCCCTCTTCTCGAAGACGCTTGGCAGAATCCAGCCGTTCTGCCGGATCCGCGCCGCCGGTACCAGAAGTCATACCAAGACCAAGGCAAACTTCTAAGAACTTCAGCAAGTGTGCTTTGTCTGTCAGACGGCTTTCATTCATGGTCGCACCTTACTTACGTGGCAACACTGCTCAAACCAGCTTGCTAATGTCTGCCGGCAGTTTTCTTTAGGACATGTTGTGTTGTTGTGAAGCTGGTTGTAGGGGCAAAAAGGCATGCGGTATAGCGCATACAACACAATACCATTTGCTGACGCATAGTCACACACTACATTACCCACAAGACAAGCAGGGCAAGTATCATACATATTTAGCCTGGTGCTCAGTCGTCTTTGAATGGAAGATCTGCTTGGACAAGCCAGTCCTCAGAGGTCATCAAGGCATTGGGTTGAGCGGTGAACGTCTGTTGTTAAGCACTGACATGCGAAACTGTGCCTGTGTATACAGCAACTTGCAGTAGACATGCCGTGAATGTACTTGGATTCAACGCTGTGTTTGCAAACCAGCCGCCCACCCAGCGGATTGAACAGGAAGGACCTAAGCACGTTACAAAAGTAACTACCGTTCAACACTGCAATAAAGCTGCCGTGGCCTTGAACAATCACAGCAATGTTGCAATACGTGCTTTGCCAAGGGTGCAGATTCTCACAAAGCGTACAAGTCTCCGCAAGCTAGGGAAAACTTTTTGGGGCATGGCATACTCTACTGCATCGCATACTTGACTGTCATTGCAAAATGCACAGCGATCCAAGAATGGCTCTGCAAAACCCTGAGGTCAAAACGCGTGATCAGCAACTGCACCATTCCGTAGCCTTGCAAGGCTACAGTCTGAGCTGGGAAAATGGTTTCATGAAACATCGACATATCAGGCCGTTCAAGCCTGCACAACGTGAGACCAGGCCTATACCTTCTCAAAAACGTCAATTCCACGGCTGGGCTGAAGGAACCTGCGCATGGAACGACCAAAATAGCACGTACATGTGTCTGCCAATCCGAAAAGCAAACATCAACCATAGCATGCTTCAGCCTTCAAAACAAATCGAACTATGGATTTCTCAGATCTGTCTGACACATCAACCTGCAGCTCCAACAGCCACACATCTCCCAAGAATTGACGGGAAAAGGCCTTCTGGCCCACGTTGACGCGATGCCTGTTCGTGTCAGGCCCACATGGATCAAGGGATGACGACAACCGCAACGTTCATACTAGCCTGGCTGTGGATAGCACACACATCTCGACATCGTTCCTCACGTTGTTCAGACGATGTCAGATTTCAATGAACCGATGATGTGAGCGAAGCACTTTCAGGCAAAAATCAAGATCGGCAATGTAAGGTGCACGCCATTGACACCATCAATCATTCAGCCGGCAAGAAACACATGGCCAGCCATAGCAACACTGTGGAACAACACGTCACATCCAATAATGATGCTCTGAAGTGTGTATGAGTTGCGCGCGCGACGCTGTGAAACCGGCTGCCCCGACAAGATGTTTGAAGGACATGCTTGCAGTGCTGAACACAAAAAGATGTCCAAAACCAGAAGTTCCATGTTTCTAAGCAAACTTGGCCAAGGCATCTCTATGACACTACAGCAAGCATTCAGGCACTGCTTCACCAACAGGTCCCTGCAAGCTTTCATAATCTGAGTGAATACATGACACGCAAGGCAAGAAAAAAGGTGCCAACTCTGACCAAATAGTCGAAAGAAAAAGGCATTTGGTGGCAAATTAACATAACCTTTTTTGAACTCCCTCAGATTTCAAACGTGTCCTGCGAACAAAACAAATGCGGCAAAAATGCCAAACAAATCTGAGCTAAAAGGGTTGTATCTCACAAATGCGTATGAAATATTATTCACAATCAACTGGAGCGTGAGCAAATTGTGGAATCCTACCCCGCTGTTGTTTTCCCATGTGTGTGTCACACCACATGCTTGGTTTTGCTTGCCCCTCCCCCATTCTGCCTAAGCGCAGGGCTCAAAAAATTTGGCCAGCTTGTGTAGTTTGCATGATGCCACAAGCTCGGGAGGCACCTGGCCCCTCGCCAAGGCGTCAAGGAGGGGGTTGTTCGAGCGTCCCTTCAAGATGGCACCTATGGCTCCTTCGTTGCACCTGACATAACACCAAAGTCGTCTGTTTCAGAAAGTTCTCCCACATGCTTGATGGCACGATGCGACGAAAGCAAAGAAAGATCAAGATCAGATCATCAAACAAGGGAATCAATGATATGTGGTTTGCCACATTGCAAACGCTCAAAGAAACGATTCTCGACCGTGCACTCCTCGTTCAAGATTCCTCCGCGTGTGTGTTCGTGAAGGCGGCGGCCAAGGGCGTTAAACAAAGAGCTACGTGTTCTGCCGAAGAGTTGCCCCTTGTGCGAAAGTCAAGCGAGCAGTCTCTGGTTGACTGACCTGGCCAGCGCACAAGCATGACTTGATCGCCGCTGCGAGCTCCCCCTTCCTACTAACCGTGTTCTTGACGTTCACCTCGCCCAAGTCTGAGGCCTTCGGATTAAGAACAGTACCTAGTATGGAGACAGTGTCCGTCATGTGGCCATTCTTCGTGCCATCGCGATGTTATGCCCACGCCAGGAGGTCTAACAACATGGAGAATGATGTTTCAACACTAGCACTACCCTTCAAGTTGCTGTAGTCGTCAACGCAGCATGTGAAGAAAGGACATGTCTCCAACCCCAACCACTGTAGCCCCGGCACAGCGGGTGAAAACGACCCCACTGACTCTTACCCAAAAGGGGATCGCATACTGCTGGAAACATTCTGCTTTCTCTGACTCCGCAATAAATGCGCTGAACCGTGCATATTTGAGCAACGTATCGGAAATGGGCAGCTGACGGTACGCACTCTTCAGGTCCAAAGCTCTCGGTCAGCCGATCGTAACGGTCGTAATGCTCTCATGGTCTCACCTGCCACTTCTCACCTGCCGCTGATGCGATGGTGTCAGTGCCATCCACCGTCGCTTTTGCAGGGGTGGTAGGCAAGGAGCGGGAAACGGCCAGGTGGAGGAAACGGCTAACGAAAGGACATAGACACAAGAGGGAGACGGCAAGGGGTAGGATACAGCCTGTTTTGGAAACGGCCTTCTGGGGGAAATGGCCATGCAAAGACAATGGCTGCTTAAAAGTGAGTGAATGAGTGAGACCTGGGGTGCACTCCGGTCTACGGAAACGTTTCCTTCCGACCTTCTCTTCCCCCCTCCGCGTACGTCATTGGGGAGATCCAGCGAGAGTTCCACGCTGGCCTCTCAATCTGAGAAGGGAAAGGTGCCACCCGAACCTCCATGGGTCCGCCCCCCCAAGCTGAAACTTGGGTTGGATTTGGGCACTTGGCAAGACAGCCCAATTCTCGGGAACACAAGCTCTTCCCCCTGTGATGCCTCACGAGGGTACTAAGCTGGGGGCACCGTCTCAGAGATGGGGCATGGGGTGGTCGTACCAAACACACACGCA